CCCTGAACCCCCTAACCTTAAACCTTCAGCCCCTAAACTCCTTTCCCCAATTGTTACTGCCCTTTTCTAATCCCTGTAAACCACAACATAATCCCATTGTCCATTTCACTTCCATTCTCTTATTCTCCATGATTATCCTTTTTAGCCGCCTATAAAGCTATTTCTATTATGCGATTATTAGTGCTACTATTATTATTACTGTTATACTACCCTAAACCCTATTATTGCTACTACTAGTATTGCTAGTATACTGTTTCCTCTTTACCCCTGCTTTGAGGCATTCTCAAGTGGGGCCTGCCAAGTCGAGGAAGTGGTCCCTCCCAAGCCCCCCAAAGAGAGAGATCCAGAAAATCTAGAACACTATGAAGAAGGGGGTCCTCTGAGTCCCTTGAAAGGGGCTATAGGGATGTATGGCATTTTAGATTTAGGTTTTCGAGTTCAGGGTTTAGGGTTTAGGATTTCTAGGGTTCAGGGTGGGAGTTGAGGGCGTGAAGATCGTGAGGACCATCCCTCCACACTCCCCCAAGCAAACATGAGTCTGCTTCAAAAGGGTGTAGGGAGGTGTTCATGTTAGTTTAGGATAGGGTAATGTTGCCTAAGTTGCACAAAGTTGATCTGGGACATGGCGGGGGAGTTTGTTCAAGGGTTGACCCTGAAGCCTAACCCTTAACCCCAAGCTCAAAACTCTCTGTGGGTCTGGGCTACTGTTAATGTCACCCGCCCCTGAGCTTGCTCATAGAGTGTGTGCCGGTGCTGTGGGCGAGGAGCCCCAAGGTTTGTATGAATTAAATGTAGGGTCTTACTCTTGAATCATTGGAAAAATGTTGTGATACCGACTCAAGTGTAAGAACACTTTCCTGATTATTAAGGCTGCTTTGCATTCCACCAATGCAAAGGCAATCTTATGGAGGCTCACCAAAGATAGCACGCATGTCAGGACGCACCTTTACAGTCAGGGTCGTCTGTGACCTCGCATTCTCATGGCCAACTGCTTGTGTATGCCAGATTATGGTTTGGTTTGGCTAGTTGTGTTTTGTGAGGTCCTATCTAAGATTTCGTTTAAGCAAGGTCAACCCTGTCTAGCGACAGCTCGCTTAGCTTGGTTCTGCCGCAACACCTATGAGCCTCTCTGGTAGGAAGCTTGGGCGCGCAGGTTTTTAGAGGAATTGATGCCTTATTCCTGGCTTCCTGCATATGAAGTCCGGCCACTCTGTGAACAGGAACTAGGGCGTCCCCTGATCCGGGCCAGCTTCGATTGTGGAGAAAACTTCTCTGAGCTTACCTACCATGAGCTGCAAGTTGCCACTCGTATGTTGACCAGAATGGTGTCGTTTTGCACATTGTTCCTGCTTTGCCGTTTTGTACCCGTGTTGCACATGGCCGTAGTACCGCACACACTTGCCAAGTGAGACTGGCTGCGTCACAGAGCGAAGCTGTTGGATCTTTCCGTTTGCTTGGTATGATGTGGCCTTGAAGCCAGAGCAGAGTACCTATTTGGACAAACAATGTCTACTGCCAGTACGACTGTGATTTGTTGTTTCGTTACTTCCTGTACAGCCTGTTCTACTTCGAACTAATAAGCCAGCCAAAAGTCATAACGAGTATTAGAGGGGCGGAGGGTGGAAGAGAGTGGCATGAGGGAGGACTACGGTGGTGGAAGCACGAAGTTCACATGTGCAAAGGCTAGGCATGGGTTGAGAAGAGAAAGAGAAAGACCCCTCGTAAGGTCATCCTGTGCTTTCGGCAAAACTGTAGAACTGTATGAGGGTCCAGAAAGTTTATACGAGCTACGATCACCACAACTAATACCAGGGCAGAAAGGTGAAGCAAAGGGGGAGGCAAACAAGACCAACATGAGCCACAGTCTAAACTCCTTAAAGGAGGTTACATAGGGGATCATACAAGGGAACTACTAGGGTGATACTCGGAGTTTAGACTGTGGCTCACATGCAATGGAAGAGTCCTACTCGGTCCCACCCACACAAGGGGCGAGGCCGTACACCACTGTGGCAAGCTCAGTGCCATGCCTGGCCCAGCTACGGGATTATGTAGGGTTGTTGGTATTAGTATAGTTATCATTATTACTGGGTTTGTAAAATTGTAGCAGCAGACAACAAGCGCAACGAAATAATCCAATTCAGGAGAGCGATGACAGTGCGTGTAGAAGTGCAGAATAGCCTGGCAACAGCAGCCATGATGGCTGAAGCAGCGTAACCAAGCCCAACTACCATCATTTGCAAGGGCAAGCCTGGCAGGCATGGTAGGCAGAGAATTGTCTGAGGCAATGTAAAGATTGAACCTTGCTTCGCTTGCTTCTTTATGAGCACTTCTTCTTGTATGTGTGTATAGGATGCAGTGAGCCAATTTGAGCCATGGGCAGAGGCCAGAAGCGAAAAGCCGATGGAGACCTTCCAGAGGTCAGCGCAGATCCCGAGATTGTTGCTAAACTCCAAGCACTACCAAGGCAGACACTGCTGACTTTTCGCAGAGATCTGGCCCTGCAGCCTTTCCAGAGCGCCGCCCAGTCTCTCAACGACGTGTCGTCGGGCTTGGCCGACTTGCTTGAAAGCATTCATTCAGAAGAGGGCGTAGCAAGGTCTCTCAGAGAAGCCTTGGGAGGGAGTACATGGTGCTGGAGCTTTAGCTCCACCTCTGAGGAGGTGCATGCTGCCAGAAAGGCGTTAGGTACAATGCTAATGGATGGTCGGGAGAAGCTGTTGGCTTCACTGCGCCAGGGAGATGCATTCTGTGCTGCTGTGAAGAAGCACAGCAGCAGAAGAGACGGCCAGCCGCTACTGCAGCTGGGCAAGACACGCGCGATGTGGCTGTTAGGCGCAGGCGCTGAGGAAGGCGACGACCAAGCGACCAAAAAGGCGCCGCGCGCAAAGAAACGCAAGATCAAAGTGGCCAAAGCAGGTCAGGCGGAGGAGTCCGAGTCAAGCCTAAGCGACTCCGAGCCCGCGGGAAAGAAGGGCAAGGCCTCTACCAGCAATGCCACGCAGGAATTCTTAGCTCAGTTGCGGGCAAAGCGCAGCAAAATGGCCTAGTGTCATCATTTCCCAGTTGCAGCATGTTCTTGGCGCAGTGAATGACAGAGTATGTAGGAAGTTCAGCCATTCGCGGCCATTTCTGCTCAAGCATGACCTAGCCGCAGAGGCACAGGCTGCTTTGCAACATGAAGGTGGGGGTTTCCGAAAATTGCGGGTACCATTTTGGGGGTACCCAGAATAAGGAATATATTATATTGGGGTCTAAGTTGGGGTCCCCTTATTTTGGGAAACTACCAGGTGGTTTGCGAAGTTCACTGAGCACGTGCCTGGGTCTGGGCCTCGGTGGGGATTGCAGTGGGTTTAGGGTTTAGGGTTTAGGGGTGTGTTCTCAAGCAACCCACAGCTGTCCCACTAAACATGACATATGGGGATAATGGAAAAGAAAATGGAAACTACTATGATACAATAGGGTATATATTGGGGTTATATGGGGACAATGGAAAAGAAAATGGAAACTACTATAATACAATATGCCTGACACAGCAGCAGTGCCTGAAATGACGAGTAGGAGGTCTTCAAAATATGACAGGGCCCGCTGGTGCTCCTGAGAATACGCGCTGATCCCAACAGTTGGGGGGTCGTGAGGAGCTTGAAATCCTTTCCAGGCTTTCCATAAGAAATTTGTCCAGGGGGCCCAAGAAACCCATCCTAGGGAAAGCTATCAAACGCGCAGTGTCCTGTTCAACTCTTAAATCCCCAGAACAATTGAATCATGAACATTACGAAGTCTAAAGAGACCATAAATCCTAAACCCTAAACCCCTAAACCCTAAACCAGTATATGACACGCTGTCAGCAAGGTGCTGGCCCTGCCTCCGAAGGTCCCTACGTCTGCATGTCTTCTTGACGTTATAACCCCTTAACAACGTTAGAGACCCTAAGCCCCAAGCCCTACACCCTCAGCCCTAAACCCCCTAAGCCCTAAGCCTTGAACCTTACACCCCAAGCCCCAAACCCTACACCCTAAGCCCTAAACCATCCTAAACCCTACACTCTAAGCCCTAAACCTTAAACCTTAAGCCCCAAATCCCCAGAAGGCGCCATCAGTTGGACAGCCATTTATGGCCCCTGCGGCCTTGCTTTCTCCTAGTAGTCAATCAAGGAATGTGGGTTTAGGGTTTAGGGTTTAGGGTTTAGGGTTGATATAAACTCTCCCGCCTTAAGTGCTAAGCTTTGAAACGCCCCAAGAAAACCCCACTAAACCCCCTCTGAACCCCACCCCTTAAGAACACCCCCTCCAACCCTTAACCCTAAAACCCTACCCTAAACCCTAAAACCCCAAACCTTAAACCCTAAACCCCATAAATCCTAGAAACCCTCAAACCCTAAGTTCTGAAAGCTGCTCAGGCTCGAGCCATGCTACGAGCCTTTGGCACTTTCTTGATCCAAGCGCTGCTGGGTTGCTGTTAAGGAACTGAAATTAAGTTACCATAATAGGTATTGGGTTTAGGGTTTAG